GAGCTCGGGCTGATGAACTCACACATCCCAGAGAGCTGTGGTGAGTGTGATCCCTTTTAATCCCTAAAATAAACCAAAGAAAAGGCCTTGGGGGAGATGGCAGCGGGAAATTATGGATTACATATAAAATTACCTGTTGCACACTGGAGTAATCCCAAAGCAATCTGTGGGCAGGTGGGTGTGAGGAGGCTGGATGGGATCAGGGGAGGAAATAACTCCTGTTGTAATAACTTAGGGCCAGGTTTTCTCCCTTGATCCCAATTCTTATGATCCCCATGTCAGGAGTTTAAGGCTTTACTTTGATCCTGCCTAAGGCTGGAGCTGATTTAAGGGCTCATTCCTGTGAGCAGTTTAGCTGAGTTCAGCCAGTGCATAACCATGGATAAAAAGGTTACATTTCAGACTCCCTGTTTTACCTGAAAAAGTAAAGTTGAGAAGTGTCCAGAGCAGGCCCTGTCGGGTCTTTTTGGCTGGTTTGGTGCGTCTGGCATCAAAAACTGAGTTTCTACAGCAGAGCCTGAGAGTCCTGAATCAAGAGCAGCCTTTAAAGGTCCCCTTGTCTGACCCCCAGGGCAGAGAGAGAGGGGCTGGGTGGGTGCAAAACACTTGAAATTCAGGAATGAATTTGAAAACCCATCAGGGTTTCATAGTGGGAAATCATCAGCACAGCTTGGCTGGATATCCACGTGTAGCCTGGAAAAGGAACTATTGAGGAGACTGATGGTGGCTGGGGAAAAGTTGAGGCTGGTGTGAAGAGCTGTGGGAGAAGGTCATGGAACCAAGTGTTCAAATGAAATTCAAAATGGGAAAAGAGATGGGCACAGGAAAGGGAAGAAGTGATTCAAACTTCCCAGGTAAAATGTATTAATGCCTGCTTCTGGAAAAAGGGATTTGAGGGATATAATTTATTGTTTTGAGAAAGAGGGGCCTTTCTCTGCCTCCCAAGAGCTCCCCAGGGAATGCTCAGATGTAAAGCTGTGACAGATCCTGCTGGCACCTTCTGGCCATTTTATGCCACTTGTCCCACCTTGAGCACAAAAGTAACCCCCATGAGAACGGTGAAATGTGATTTTTAAATCATCTGACTTCAATGGAAACAAACAAATAAATAACAAAAATCCTGATCTGGCAGCACACTCTTTCCCGAGGCGTTCCTTAGGGAGAACATCTGCTGGAACTCGGTGCCCATGGGCGACATTTGGGATAATAAATGCTTGTAAATCATTAATAATCTGCATTTGAGATCCCCCTGCATCCCCTCCTGTCCCCCCACAGGTGGGCTGGGGCTGGGCAGCTTCGAGGCGTGTCTGATCACAGAGGAGCTGGCGTACGGATGCACCGGGGTGCAGACAGCCATCGAGGCAAATTCCCTGGGGGTGGGTCCTAAAACCCATCCAGAACTGGGGCTGGGGTCCTCAAACTGGGCTGGGGTCCTCAAACTGGGCTCTGGGTGTTCCAAACTGGGCTCTGGGTGTTCCAAACTGGGCTGGGGTCCTCAAACTGGGCTGGGGTCCTCAAACTGGGCTGGGGTCCTCAAACTGGGCTCTGGGTCCGCAAACTGGGCTCTGGGTCCTCAAACTGGGCTCTGGGTGTTCCAAACTGGGCTCTGGGTGTTCCAAACTGGGCTCTGGGTGTTCCAAACTGGGCTCTGGGTCCTCCAAACTGGACTCTGGGTTCTCCAAACTGGGCTCTGGGTGTTCCAAACTGGGCTCTGGGTCCTCCAAACTGGGCTCTGGGTCCTCCAAACTGGGCTCTGGGTCCTCCAAACTGGGCTCTGGGTCTTCCAAACTGGGCTCTGGGTCCTCAAACTGGGCTCTGGGTCTGCAAACTGGGCTCTGGGTGTTCCAAACTGGGCTCTGGGTGTTCCAAACTGGGCTCTGGGTCCTCCAAACTGGGCTCTGGGTCCTCCAAACTGGGCTCTGGGTGTTCCAAACTGGGCTCTGGGTCTTCCAAACTGGGCTCTGGGTGTTCCAAACTGGGCTCTGGGTGTTCCAAACTG